ATAAATATACATTTGACTGAGGTCAATGGGTACCACACATATCATCTGAACAAAGGTTGTTATAAAGGAATGAGCTATTTTACACTTCCCCACATGTTGACGAAGTGGCAGCGCTTCAGAAATCATATCTCTGAGATCTTACTGGTCTCTTTCTCATTACCTGTCTCATGGCAGACCCCCATAGCCTGGATGCACTCTGGCTTCTCTCTATTATACACCATGCATATGAACTGCAGGCAGTAGATCCCAATATCTAGCATTGCTCCTCCGCCCAGCTCCTTCTGTGATGATCTCGGCACATGCAATAACGGCACGCCAAACTCCGATCTCACCACCTGCACCTCTCCCACCTCTCCCTGGGCCAGCAGCCGTCTGATCTCCACCGAGGCCGGGAAGAATCGGGTCCAGACAGCCTAGCGCAAAGAAAAAAAATCATAGTTCATATAGTTACATTTTAGGCGCTTGGTGATGTGTTATGTAGTGATTTAAATTGCGTGCGGTTTCTCACAGAAACAAGAAATATACTAAACGAGGTATCCGCAGATTTGAAAAAAAGAGACTTCTCACATGAGCAAAAAGTAGCTCTGGACTGTGTACCTGCTTCGGACTCTGTGAACATCACCATCGATCAGTATGCTGTTGAGACTTTTTTCAGGCATCTGCCCCAGGAAGGCCTCTGGACCAGATGGCATCTCTGGGGACTTACTGAAATCTTGCAGCAAAGAGCTGGCAGAAACTTGGTGCCCCATCTACCAGAAGACTCTTGATACTCACTGTGTTCCCTCTATCTGGAAAAGTTCTATCATTATTCCTGTACCCAAAAAAGCAAGCTGTAAAGAGAATAATGACTACCGTCCTGTTGCACTCACTTCATTGTAATATAATAATGAAGTGTTTTGAGAAAATTATGATTCATTTTTTGAAAACAGAGGTCAGTTGTTTTTTAGATCCCTTTCAGTTTGCCTATAAGAGTAATAGAAGTACAGATGATGCCATTCTAGCCATGACTCACTCTGTTAACAGGCACTTAGAAGAATCTTCCTCATACGCACGCCTTTTATTTGTTGATTTTAGTTCAGCATTTAATTCGCTGCAGCCACATCTTTTAATTAAGAGGCTGAATGATTTTAGAGTTCACCCTCTTATTATTAAATGGTTTTATTCTTTTTTTTTAACCAACCGCAGACAGCAGGTCAGTGTGAATGGAAGTCTGTCTGAGTCAAAGACTCTGAACACAGGAGCGACACAGCAGTGTGTTAGCTCTCCATTACTGTTTACTTGATATACAGATGAGTGCAGAAGTTTTTATCTAAACAATCAGATCATTAAATTCTCAGACGACACTGCAATTTTATCTTTATTGAAAAAGGGCTGCGACCTATGCAACTACTTTTCGGAAATTCAAAGGTTTGTGAACTGGTGTGACAACAACCATCTTGTTTTGAATGCTAACAAGACAGTAGAGATGGTGTTCGACCCTCAGGAAGTGGGTGACCACAGGCCTGTGGTGATACACAACCAAGTAATCACTCAGGTCCACTCCTATAAATATCTCTTCATTGTCTTCATTGATGACTCACTTACCTGTTGCACACATGTTGATAACCTCTGTCGCAGATTACAACAATGTTTGCATTTTTTACGTCATCTTAGAGTTCATGGTGTTGACACCAAGTTTATTTTAATATTTTATCAGGCAGTTGTAGAGAGCCTGATCAGATATGGCATCACAGTCTGGTTTGGCAACCTTTCTGTGCAGTTAAAGAATAAACTGTTCCGTTTAATTCATACTGCATGGAAAATTATTGGTGTTAAAGAGCACTCATCCCTGCAGAGCATTTACGAACAGGCTATGCTGTGTCAGGCCATTAAGATTTAAAGCGACGCATCTCATGTTCTGTATACAGAGTACGAGCTGCTTCCCTGTGGTAGGTGGTTCAGAGTCCCTCGCTGCAGGTTAAATAGATTTAAAAATTCATTCATCCCTGCATCTATCAAGCTTTTAAACAAGAGCAGATAATGACCAGTTAAAGCTGGTGCTGATGAGAATTTGCGTCTTTGCACTGTGATTGCAAGTGAGCTGCTGCTGTGCATTTCTTTTTATCTATAGGAGCTGCTGCCTAACAGTATTTATTTATTATGCGTATTATTATCTTCTGTATTGCTCCATGTGTATACTGTTGTTGTTTTTATTTATTTCATGATGTTTTTCATTACTCATGTTGTTTTGTTTATTTATTTTAATGGCTGCAGTATGGGTGGTTAGCCCAAGACAAATATCCCACCTGGTGGGACAATAAAGTTTACCTTGACTTTAACCTTGACCTTGATCACGTAACAGTGTTGCAAAAAAATTAAGTGGATCAACTTCTCAATCCAACATCCTGAGCTCAGAATGATTTTGCAGGTGAAAATTGAAGAAGGAGAAATTTAAGCTATGAGAAGGATTTATTATTTCCTTTTTGCTCTGCACTGTCCGTACCTCCATGAGGAAGACATCATTCCTCTTGGCAGAGGCCAGGATCTCCTTCACCTCCTTGGTGTTCATGGCCAGCGGCTTCTCACACAGCACATTCTTCTTGGCGTGGGTAAAGAGCAGACAAGTGCTCAGATGGTAGGGGTGGATAACTCCAATATAGACAACATCTGCACACATATAAATGCACAGTCAAACCTCTGCAAGGGTGTAAAAATATCAACAGGGAATGAAAACAGTTGTGGGGCGAACTGAACTGCAAATTAGTGGCGATTCAACAGACGGTTGTGGTTTGCTGTATTGTAAAGTTTCAACTCACACTGAACTGTCCTAAAGCATCAAAAACAAATGCAAAGAGCCATTAGCCAATGAAATTTGACCCAGGTCTGACAGAAACTAACCTATTTCTGGATCCCTGGCCAGCTCCTCGTAGCTGCCGTATGCTCGGGAGATGCTGTGCTTTTTGGCAAACTCCTGTGCATCCGCTAACTTGCGAGCCGCCACGGCAACAACCTGGGAATACAGTTTCAGAATAGTATTTAATGCAGCACAGTGTCCCTGTCCCATCTTAATCAAAGGCCCCAAATTCTTCCAAATCCTGGCAGAATGGCGACTGGATATTTGTCTTCCTAATATGGACTCAGCAGTGTCATACTCACTTTTAAGCACAATTCAGTAACTAAATGTATCTAATGTTTGGTGCAAGGGCGTAGGTTTCGTTTCAACACTGAGGGGGAGGAGGTACACACATGAAATGGAAGGTGTGGGGTCCTCCCCCATGAATTGTAAGCATCAAACACTTAATTTCCTGCATTGTGGTGAATTTGTTTTGCATCTATTTGTGCCTTTTCTGCATCAATTTATGGTGGAAGTGTCTTTAATTTCGTCAAAACCTGCTACTTTCACAATTTTACTGAGGGGGGAATGTTCTAAATATGGAGGGGAACATGTGGCCTTTATCCCCCCCTGAAATCTACACCTATGGAAATCTGCATTTCTCAGTGTCTGGTGGATGGATATCAAACATAACTGCAAAATAATTTCTTTGGCACTTTCCTACAGTCTCCTAGTCAGTTTGGAGAGTCACTAATTATCTTGCCTCCAGAGCTGCACTTTGTTTATAACTTTAGGTAAAGGTGTGTCATCTGAGGCTGTTTTATCTCATTATTATTATTACTGAAGGGGGAAAAAAATCTACCGTAATTCTTCGAGTAAAGTGCGCAAAAAATGTAGATGCCCATTTAGTGCGTCTTTTACGGTAAAAGGAAAGCGTGCCGAAGTGACGGAAATGCTGCAAACTGTAGCTTGCATTGTTTATAAACTCACAGATTTCCAGTGTCGGTGGCATTTAGGTGCAAAGCTGCAATATGCAAATGTACAACATCTCATTAGGAGCTGAGTTTTAACAGTGTGAACTTCAGATCGCCAGAAACAGCAGATCCAGACAGTCTGCACGGAGCGAGCAGCCTCACCGAGCCCTCAGGAGACGTCTTGCATCTGAAGCCAGACATGTGTTCGTGTCTACGCATCTACTCATACTGATACCTGATGGTCCTCTGGAGGAAGACTTTTCAGAGCCACAGTGAAGTCATGACTGATCTTCCCTGCGCTACAGATCCCCCACCTGGTTGCCATATTGGACAGGAAGCGAAGAGAGGTCATACCAACAGTGGCAGCTCTCCTCCTCAAGGTGGAGACACAGTCTTATTTTTAACCGTGTGACGTTGCAGAAAAACAAAATGATGATTCGTGCTAAAACGTGACCTCCAGATAGTGATCATGAGACAAATAACAGCAGGATAAACAAGCTGCTTTTTAATTTTGTCTTGTACGATTTTGTCTCTCCTTTCTTCCTCTCAGAGGGACTCGGTTATTTATTGTTATTATTTTATTTTTAATCTGCTTTTTAAATCTATTATTTGTCATTTGTCCATTTATTTTGCTGTGAAAAGCTCTGTACCATAATGAAACAGCCTTCTTGGTTCTGGTAAGAGCTGACATGTACAGGGACATTATCTTAGGCCTGCTCTTCATCATTATAGTGCTTGAGGCTAAATGGTCCATTTATTTAACCTCTTTGTAAAAGGGTAAAGAAACAGGATAAAAAGTGTGTAACTGTGTATAATTTCCTCACAAATTCCATGTTTTCTTGAATAAATACCTGCAAAATGTCAGCATTGTTCAATAACCAAAAAAAACAATGGGCAAATATACTATTACTGCTTGAATACGTGCCATTTTGAATTCATACACCACGATCCTATGAGACACTTCTCAGTTTTTAGGATGAGCCCAAAAGGTTGCAGAACAAGTATTAAATGAGCCATGCTCTTTGCTGACTCATAAAGGCCTTCCTCTGTCCTAACCTTGAAAAGCAGGCAGTGCGACCTATTTTCGTATGGAGAACATGAGTCTATTTGTACACGGCTGCGGGGAACAGACATGACAGAACACTTTGATTCAAATGTGCCACTCCGAGTCTCTTCTCCTCTCCAAGCGGATGATATTTGAAATGAAACAAGGCTTTCACAATCACTCCTTTATTGGATTCATCAATCACACAGCCCACAGTGACAGCTGGGTTTGTCTTTAAAGGCCTGGGACTTGATTACAGGACATGGGTGCTCTTGTTGTTTGCATTGTGATTTATCTGGTTTGGGACAGTGTCGGTGTATGCCATGTACTGTAACATAAGCACCTACAGGGTGTTTACATGGTGACTCTAGGGTAGGATGACTGGGAAAAAAAAAAACTAATAATGTACCCAAGATTTTCACGTTCCAATAAGTTGACGATTGTATCTTTAATTCAGTGGCAGCTCATTATATTACATGAATCACAGTTGTCTCGGTGACACTGCATCTGCTTAGGATTTGTCACACAGTGCCGTGAGTGATCTGCTTATACCGAAGATCCAAAGCCCTGCCCCGAGCAGCTCCCTCCGTTCCATCTGAGTAGGTTTAGGTCAGGTGAAACAGCCCGCCTTTGGAGTGTAGTCATTGGCTGTCCTGGCAGAAGGAAACTCCCACCTGTTTCCTGATTTCATCCATGATCTCTGTCAGTAAGACAGAGTCCGCCGGAGGCATCCGTGGGCTCTCCTTAAGTCCTGCAGATGAAGAGGAGTTAAACAGGGAAAACTGACTGACTGAGAGACATGTCTGTTTATAACCACAGTTAATTTATGCACATATTCACAATGAAGCATAAATTATGACAAAGCAGGGATGTAAAGATTATGTAAATTCACATAGGAGGCAAAACCGATAGGAGTGCAACACCATTTGAGCTAGAGGACATTTCAAGGACTGATAACAGCATTGATTCTGAATCAATCTGATGAGAGTATTCATCGAACGTCTCACAGGAAGCTGTGACTGTTTCACAGAACTGCAGCGTCTTTCTGTCAAACTCAGACGGTGGTTTCGGCTGTTCAAACAATTTCACCACTTTGAGGACAAATACACAACTTTCCTTTCATTGTGACCTACCTTTAAGCAGGCACTGCCTCACTTCCTCTGCCTCATAGCGAAGCCCGGTGCTGTTGGTGAAATTCAGAGGGAGGCAGGGTTCAGGCAGAGGGTACTCCGTCTCCTTGTCATTCACCACAAGTGTGGTAGGGCAGTGCATGGGGCCGAGAACCTACAGGGGAAAGAGGAAATGCATTTTTTGTGTTAATCCAATCACTCAACTCATAACTCATGAAATGCAATGGGTATGGATCCTTGCCTGAATACTCCAGTTTAATTAAATGTGAAAGTAATTAGCAGCCGGCTCAGTTTTTGCATGTCTCAATCATTTCTTAATTAAGTCAAATGTTCCTGCACAAGACTAGCATGGCTTACTTTAATGGAGCCCTCAGTGCCACTGATGACAGCATCGTTCGGAAGTCGAGCGGAGATTGAAAATGCGCAGAAGGCCATCCTGTTCCTGGAGAACTTCATCACCACAACCACTGACTCATCCACTCCTGTCAAACATTTAAACAAGTAAATCATTGAAAAATTGTTGAGCAGTAAATGGATGAGCAAATGCTCACAGTGCTGCTGCTGCTGCTGCTGCAAGTTCCATTCACGTCATTTCACTTCAGGTCATTTCAATACACCGCTCATCAGCACACTTCAGTTAGGTGGAATCAGTTCAGGTTCACTGGCATGACCTTCTTTTACAGAAACAGAAGGTCACAGATATATACTATTAAATAAATTGACAGATCTGTTACATAAAGATAAGTGAAAGATAAGGACATGCTCATTATATAGTTTGATGGTCTTACATTGAAGGATATCTTGCTGTGAGGCATGCAGTTACATATTCCTCTGTCAGTTTTACTGTATTACTGTATTCTCCAGGGAGGATTTGGATTAGTCTGACATTTTAAAGATAAGTATGGGATTTTCTGTGTGGAGAATTTTTCCCTGAGGTGTTTACATTTTGGACAGCTTTAAAAAAAAAAAGTGATTTTGAGTCCAAGTTTTTTGTGCCTCACATTAGGGATTGTTATTTTCTTCTGGAGGTTTGGTTTCAATAGCCAGTCAGAGATCATTGTTTCATACAGTGTGGTTAATGATACTAATCTACATCCCACCTCTGCTGCGTGACCTGTGTGCTGAATCATACCTGAGTCAAGCAGCGCCCCTGTGGCCTGTATGGACTCTGGCCTCTCTCCGTTGAAAACCATCAGCACAAACTGCAGGCAGTACACGCCGATATCCAGCAGCGCGCCACCGCCCAGCTCCTTCTCCACTGAGCGGGGGATGTGGAGCTGAGGGGAGCCGAAGTAGGCCTTTACCAGCTTCAGCTCACCTACTGCCTCCTCCGCCAGCAGCCTGCGCACCTCGGCGTACACGGGGAAACAGCGGGACCAGATGGCCTGAGAGGGACAGAGCAGACAGCCTAGCATCACGGCAACAGTAAACAGCTTATACTGAAGTTTCACCTGGGCTGCTGTTTATTACCACAGCTCTCCACTTGCTCCAACCCTTGTGAGACTGCAGCAGACGTGCTGGTCAAACATGACATGACAAGATGTTGTCCTGCACCATGGATGATAAATATTCCCAGGACGTCCAGGGTTTCGCTTCCTGTGCTTAAAATGTCTGCACTCATGGCACTATAATGCAGCTAATGACCTAAAATGGGACATGAATTGCAAACTTTAACATATTGCCAAGCTATCATCCCTGATGGAGAACGTGTCCCACCCACCGCAGGACGCTCAGCAGAATTGGGCAGCTCCTTCAGTGACATGCTGCGCCATCCACAGTGTGTGAAGGAGACATACCGCAGGCCCTTCCTCCCTGCTGCTGTCAGAGTTTACAATCAACACTGCTCCCAGTAGTCTGGACATAACAAAACTAACAATTCATTCACTCGTGCAATATCTAGGCAATATTATACTGTGTAATATCAATATTTCCCAGGTGCAATAATGTGAATTCAGCGGCTTAGTCTGTCTGCTCATTACATTTTGCCCTGTTTTTACTGTTTTACTTATTTATCATATCTTTATTATATCTTACTTTATCGAATTTGCTGCAGAACACTGCAAATTTACCCACTGTAAAATGATGTTATATGTAGATTATAATGTCCAGCAGCCATCTGCAATAGTGTTTATGACAGATAACACTCTCATATCTCCAAATATATGGCCACAACCAGCAGCTTGTTAGCTTACTTTAGTGCAAAGAACAGCTAGCCTTGTTCTATCTGAAGTTCTCAAAATCCACCAATTCAATTGATTCAGTAGTTGTTGTTGTTGTTGTTGTTGTTGTTTGGCTGACTGTAAAAATCAAAGTATAAAAACAACAATTTGTAGTTTAACAGGGGATTTGGAGCCAAACACTTTTTTGGCTGCTCCCTGTTTTCCAGTTTTTATGCTAAGCTTTGCCAACTGGCTGTAGCTTCATATTGCCATTTCTTACAGGCATAGACAGTATCATATCTGTATTCTCATCTCATTCACAGCAAGGGATTAAATAACCAAAGGTTATTTTCCACAGTGGTAAACAATCTGATCAAAAGCAACATAAATAACACATCACTCAACAACAAAGTCATCAGGAAGGCCGGCTCTGTGCTGGGGGTGGAGCTTGATTCCTAGGTGGTGGTGTCAGAGATGAGGATGCTGCGCAAGCTGCAGAGCATCATGGCCAGTGACTCTCACCCTCTCCACCACATACTGGTCACGCACAGGAGCAGCTGCAGCAGCAGACATACACCACCAAGATGTACCACAGGAAGTCCTTTCCTCCTGTGGCCATCAGACTCTACATCTCAGAGACACGGCGACCTGAGGTGGCTTCAGCGTCCATTTGCAGCTCTGATCTGCTACGGCTGACCTTGATCTCTCTCTTGCTCCTCCTCTTCTTTACCATCTCTTTTCTCTCACCCTCCCCACCTCTCTCGCTGTCTTCTCTCTCCTCCTCCTCCTCCTCCTCCTCCTCCTCCTCCTCCTCCCCCTCCTATCTCTCTCTTCCCTTCCCGCTCTGGATTATAATCTTTCATGGAATAAGTACACTACATTGCATTCTTGTTAGTACAGCTCAGCTCCTCACAACTGATAAAACTTGATCTTATTTTATCTTGTATTTTTCTACATTTGTTACATTTGCATTTCATTGTGTTGTGCTGGCATCAAACTTGCACCAGCATTGACCCTAACTGCCAGCAAGAGGCCCCTTGGCAAAGATCTACACGAATGACTGTCCCCTAAACCTTACCTCCATCAGGAAGACATTGTTCTTCTTGGCAGCGACGACGAGGTCTTTCACCTGTCTAGAGTTCATAGCGAAAGGTTTCTCACACAACACATTCTTCCCGGCCTTGAGGAACAGCAGACCAACTCGCCAGTGCTCTGTGTGCAGCACTCCCAGGTACACAACGTCTGTGAAGACACAGATGTTCCAGAGCTTCAAACAGCACCACCAATGCACCATTATCTGTGCCTGTGCAGCCAGACTGCTTATATCTCTTAACTCACCAATATCTGGGTCGCTGGCCAGCTCCTCATAGCTGCCGTAAGCCTTCGGAATACCGTGCTTTTTGGCAAACTCCTTGGCACGCTCCAAGCTCCTCGATGCAACGACTGTTATCTGTGCAAAAGGGAGAAAAACACACACATTTATCACAGTGTTGCTTTGTCAACAGCTCTGTTCAGTGCAAGGGAGACTCCCTGTGTAACAATGAAGATGTAGTGGGCTTGTTTGGATAGAGTACCTGGTGATCTCCAGGAGGCAGCGTCTTCATGGCCACGCTGAAGTCATGGCTGATCTTCCCCGCACCGCAGAGCCCCCATTGGGTCGCCATGTTGAATTGGATGGTTAGTGACAAATGAGCAGGATGGTGCTTTAGTAAAGATCTGAGCTGCTGGCGAGCTGTGACCTTGGGAAAGGTTGCACGTTCGGGGAAAGAAACGTATAAACTGTCATGCTGTAGAGCCAGCGGCACTTCAGCAAGAAGGCTCCCTGAATTTATATGCTGGGGAGGCAGGATGTGTCACCTTCCTTCTGCTCCCACCCTGAGGTAGTGGGTGCAACACACACACATAAACACACACACACACACACACACACACACACACACTGCTGTATTGTTGTGTTGTTGCTGATACAGGCCTTTCAATCCAGGCTGAAGTGGTTTGTACCAGTTGTCTCTAACAATCTGTAACAGGACTATCAGAGGAGCTCTCATCATTAACACGCTGAAGGGGAAAAAGTGCACAGTTTAATGTGTACAAGGAGGGCTCACCCTGCCCACAGATCAGCACTCCACCACAATAGTACAGGTCAAGTATTGGAACCAGGAGTTCACTTTGTTTCCCACTGAGAGAGGCACTGATTAGCCTGCGATGGTCTGACAGCCACACAGAGGCCAATGATTAAACCTGAGTCTTGTGAGGGTTGCTGGGATAAATAGATGAGCTGGGTTCACAGAATGCTCCTGGTGCCCACAGCAGGACAATTTAACTGGCCAGTAAGCTGAGCCAGGATGACTATGGAAAAGCATCAGCTCAGTTGCCCTTGAGCTAAATATCATCCGTTTAGACAGACAGGCGGTTGTGTAAACTTCCTGCCACATGCTGCCAGTAGAGGACACTGTGTTGTCAGCAGAGTTTACTTTCTCTCTCAAGCTCTGAGGATTTGGCATGGCTCATTGTGAGGAATTATATAAAGGTTTGCAAAATCAGGTGAACTAAGGAGCTGGCAGATGCACTTTGGAAAGTATCTGCCAGAGGTCATATAACAATTGTAGAGTTTGTTGTAATGAAAAAACAAGGATTTTCATGTAAGCACACTCTGTCAATGATTCACCAAATTTAAACATGTGTACATGTCCATTTAATATTGCAATCACTTTGACCTACATTCTAGTTCAACATCTTTTTCCAGTAATTTCAGTCTTGAGTATGTGATGTGTTTCCTCATTTCCTGTAGGCGCTATATGGTGACTGGATTAACATGAGAACATGGTGTCAGTGTCAGCAACGTCGTCATTCTAAAAAAAAAAAAAAAAAAAAAAAAAAAAAGGAATTTTATCAATGACTCTTCTCGCTGGCTGCTTTCCTTTTGTATTACACTTCCAAATGAATTCTGGGAGCTGTGTGCCGTTGTCATAACAACAAGGTGCCAGCTGGGCAATTTGTATGCAAATGGAATTGGGCTTGGCCTGATATCCCTGCCTATACCACAGGACCTGGTTGCCATGGGAATGCCCAACTCCTCCTTGAGTAATGTGTACTTTTTTTTTTTTTTTTTTTGTACTTTCTTAGGGAAAAGGACACAGCGGCATTTCTCTGGCAGGGCTACATGGTGATGTCACCACAGGTGTTAAGAAAAGGGGAGTGTGAGGGAGGGTGTGTAACCTGACAGGGGCAAGCGCAACTAGATTTCGAATTGGTGTGAAGCAATGAATTGGTTCTGTGCTGCCTGACTCAACCGCCAGCAGACGGGCACGAAGCAGAGAGGCTCAGGTGGTCAGAGAAGGGTGTTCTGGACAGGGTCGCCCGGCAGCCATGCACTGGGACCCCACCGCTCTCACCCTCAGCTGAGCCTTGGATGCCTGCTTCTCAGCAGAGACTAAAAACTCAAAATTTACTGCTGAGAGCCGCCCTCCCCTGCACAAGCTCAAGGTCACGAGGAGAACAAGCCTGTAATCTGATCTGTCTTTCAGTTTTAATGAAGAGTGGCTGAAGAGTGGATATCACAGGGTTGAATTTGGGTCCCTGGGTTTTTTTTTGTTGTTTTTGTAGCCTGGCCCAGGGATGGAGGCGGATGGTAAAGACGGTTCCAGAAAGCGAAACGTTGATGAGCCGAGTCATTCAGAAACCTGGCATGCGGAAGGAAGCCAGCGCCTCATTAATTCAGCACGGCCGGGACGATTGCCTTCCACTCCTATCACTTCTCACTGTCTTTATTTGATTATGAATTCAAGCATCATCTCTTGTCTGCGTCCCTATTCCACCATGACGTGGAAGAATGGCATCAGATGGGTCACGTGAGCGGTCACAACAGTTTCCTTAGAGGGGGTGGATCATTTTGCCTGGGAAGGTGGTTGATCACAGCAGACAGTTTTGTTTCACACATTGTCATGTCATTTCATCTGTGTATCTTGCTGTCACAAAGACCCTGCCCTCCTCTCCCTCATGTCACTGACAAAGGCAATGCATCGATGCTGCAAAAAAGCCTCTTGACTAAATCTTAACTAAATTTTGTTAATAATCTTGCCAGTACTTGTAAAAGCTATTTTTCAGAAGGGCATATAACAGGGGTACAATCCAAAAACCTGTAAACTAGAAAGATTTCTATAAAGCTAGACTGTTATTTGATGTTGTTTAACTAGCATTTAACTAACTTAATTACTGAAGATAGTACAAGCTACATTGTGCCTCTGAAACCCCAGTTACCATGTAACAGCTCTGTATTTCATCAGCAACTTCAAGTTAATGGGGAATAAAAAGGACCAGAGAGAGGCACCCTAATCCTATTTTGATTGATGCGGATATGCAGAGGGTTTTCCCCCCTCCTCCAGCTGTCAGTGTAAGTGAGAGCCATCTTGCTGCTTTGTATTTTTTTTTCTTTTTGGTAGGGGTGAGAGGAACAGTATTGCAGCAGTTATGGGAGCACCATCACTCCTTCATCTCTGTCTCAAGGTCACTGCAGAGGGAGGCTGACAGGCTAGACAAGCGCCAGGAGGTGCCAGCCATTTTGAGGGGAGGTTGGGAGCTTGATGAATCCAGGGAGGGAGAGGGAAGTGTGCGGCGAGGAGTAATAAGTCATTTTGTCAATGCTACAGCATGTTCTGATGTGTGGGCCGGGTTATTTTTTTTCCATTAGAAAAAGTGTGATAGAGGGAGACTGAGAGGAGCAAGCAGAAATGGGAGCCTTTGAGCCACCCAGCATTGTGCTGGCCCTTTGAGAGTCCTATCTTTGTCTGCAGCACACACACACTGGGAGGCTGAGCTGTGGAGCAAGAGCAGGCTGGACCAGAGCTGACTTAGCAGCCCTTCATCTGGATGTTAGTGCTGATAGGGAGGGGAGCTGGATGTAGAGAGAGCACAGCAGGACATGGAGCTATTACATCCAGCTACCGTTCTTCATTTCAACCCACTCTCCATGTGTTTTCATGGTCTTTGTCAGCCAAATCCACATTTGCCATGAGGCGTGTTTGGCTGAAAACACTCACATAAGTGGACTAGACAACATGACAACAGGCTGGTTAATATTTAGTTGATAGTTTTATTCTAGCCAGTATTGTTTAGTTAGTCCCTGATGCTTGGATGCCTGTTGAAGGCCCAATTTTTGCACTGTTAATGGGAGAGCACAGAATAAGCTAACGATCACTGGTGCCAATTGCACAAATTGAAAACTGAAAATGCCAACATACTCCAAGCACTTTTGTTAAGAAAATTTACTTTGATGTAACACTTGCATTGTCTCATTATGGTGTAATCTTTACCAGCCACAACAGCAGGGCAGGTATTATTCTGACCTTGTGAGTCTGGATGTATGTGTGTGTGTTATCATGGCAAAATGTGGTGCTGGAGCCACCTAACATGGTGGAAACTACCACAGACATGCTTTTTTAGGGCTCTGCCAGGCCCTTATAGGTCATTCTTCGACTATTGTCCATTTTGGTCTGAAAACTTTAAGAAAATCTAACACATATTTAGAGACATTTATTGATTATTTTTTCTGTAATATAACACTGGCATTGTCCATTACCATAACGAGTAAGTCTTTCCCCTCATGTGAACAAAATGACGGAAGTGACTGTTTTGGAAATAAGATTTTGTCCATTAAAAAAAAAATATCTCATGATATGTTATTTTGCTAATGTACATTTCAGCATTAGCATTAAATATACACAATATAAACAGTATAATATAGAAATATGAGCTGTTTGGAAATGTATTCTTGATTTAAGAAAAATGTACTGCGATTTATTCTTATTTCTGTTGCCTATATGGAGCTAACTGTCCTCCAGCCATGTGCTCTCCTGTCACATGACTTTGCTGTGATAACAAAGAATACAATCTCTATTTTAAAAAAAAACAAAAAAAACCCTGAATTGTAAATTGTGGTAGAAATGAACGCAACACCAAGGGACAGGTATTCTTTTCTATGGAAAAAGACATAAAATACTTACAGTGTATATCTTACACCATGCGGCACGGTGGAGCAGTGATAAGCATTGTTGCCTCAGAGCAAGAGGGTTCCCGGATCAAGCCTGAGATTGGGGGTTCAAACCCCAGGGTGGGGGAGCCCTTCTGTGAGGAGTTCACATGTTCTCCCCATGTCAGCGTTGGTTTTCTCCAGGTACTCCTCCCATGAAGGTAAGGTTAACTGGTAACTCTAAACTGGCTGTAGGTGTGAATGTGCTCGTCTATATGTCAGCCCTGTGACAGTATGGGATAGGCTCCAGCATACCCGCGACCCCTGACAGGATTAAGCGGTTACAAAAAACAGAAGAAAAAAAAAATCTGATGATGAATTTCATTCAAATTGTTATTTATGTGTCATCTGTATTTAAATATATTAGATCAAGAATAAATTCAAAATTTAGCAGGGTTGAATGTCCAAAATCTGGCACAGGGAAAAGGAACCCATAGCAAAAATTACACATAAAATGCAACTTTTTATTTGATATAAATAATGACTGATCCATTATTAAATAATTATATGTTCTTTTTGGTGTCAAGTAAGTTTGACAAAGGAAATTACACAGTGAGACATGTGTTTTTGTTATTTTTGACAGGGACACAAAAATCATAAGAGAATCATCCTTAAATGTCTGTCTGTACAATGATAGCATCACAGCAGTGCCAGGTGCAGTCACAAAACTATACAGGTATGATCATAATGAAGGCTGAGTTCAAAGATGGGTGTGGTCCGAGCATTGTGCCAGAGGTAAAGAAGGGGCCATTGCCCCCTCACC